ATTGTGAGTTTCAGAAGTATGAAGGATTCTCAAGTTCATTAGGAGAACAAATGGATATTAAGAAATACAATGGATTTATTGGAGGAATGGAAAAAACAGGAAATGATGGTATAACTGTTCTTTATTATAAATCATCAACAAGAGAATGTGTTTATCATGAGAGTGTTAGAATGCCATCTATAGAAGGTAATGAAGAAAGAAAATGGAAATTAATCAGTGAAGATCATGTTATAGTAATATGGAATGAAAATTATCAAGAAGAAAACCAAGTTGAAATTGAAGAACAAAATAATGGAAATATCTCAAGTCAAATAATCATTAAACCAGGAATGTGTGGTGTTGATACTATTGAAATACATAGAAAAAAAGATGTAAGAGTATTTGGACCATTATTAGATAATATGGTTGTTCCTGAAGATATTTTAGGAGAATTAATAAGAGAAACAGCCTTTAATGCATCAGACAACTCAAAACAAAGAACTATAGGAGATGATGTAATGTTACCATATTTACAAAGAAAACAAATGATAGATGACATAATTCCAAAGAATCCAACATTCTCACAAAAAGGATATTTATCAACAATCAGTATGTTCTTAGATGATAAAGAAACTACTAAACAAGAAAATTAATTTACAATTTGTTAAAATTTTTTTATTTCTTTCTATATTATATACTTTTAATTCTTAATTATCAACTTATTATATATTAAAATAATTCTTGTTTTTATTTTTATTCTTTTCTTTTTTTTGTTGTTAATAAAAAAATATTCAAATAACAAAAAAATTAATTTGTATTTTAAAATTTAAGCTGTTTTAATAGATCTGGTAACTCAGAACAATATGGCTTTTCTTCTAATCCTTTAAGGAAAGAAACAACTTTAGCTAATGACTGATTAGTTTGATTAAATTTTTCTAATATTTTTCTTCTTTTTAATTCCTTTTCCTTATCAATTTCTTTTCTTTTAGTTATATTCTTTGGTGTTGGGGATCTTATTGTTTGGTCAATTTCAGGTGCGACAACTAGTGCTGGAGAAGGATTGTTGTTATTTGTATTGATTTTACTACTAGGTGTTTCTATGTCTTTTGTTATTTCTTGTTTTGAACTTTCTTGGACCTCTTCGGTTTCTGTTTGAAGTTTAATTTGTTGTTGTGGTAAAGAAGGTTGTTCTTCATCAACTTTTTTCTTTTCAATTTTTTTAGTTTCTCTAATTTCTGCTTTGTCAATTTCAGGGATTTCACTTAGTAAAAATCCGCCTAGAGTCTTTGAAATAATTTGATTTTTATTAACAACAGTAATAATGTCAACAAAATTACTTCCAAATACAATCCGATCAATATGAGGTTGTTTCATATCAGAAGTCCATCTAAAAAAGATACATGTTTTACCATTTAAGAAAGAAGCACCATAAGGGTTTAATTTACATTGCGTGTTATCAGGAATTTTCCATGAACCCAACTTTTTTAATTTATCTAAAGAACTAATCTTTTGTTCAAAGACCAAGAACTCTTTTTGAGTTTGAATAAATAATCTGTTTTTAGCATGAATACAATCAACAACAAGATCATCAAAAGTGATATTTACTAATAACATTTTTGTTGTTGTTGCAATCACAGCTTTTGTTTCAAAAATACAAAGAAAAGCTGAAAGAGAGATACCATAAACAAGAATTAATTTGTCCTCTCCTGCTATTTGTTTAATATTTTGTAATTGAGTATCAGTCTCTATAAATGAAAGACGTTGTTGGTTTTCCATTTCTGGCCAACTCATACTAATTACTGCGGATTCTGTCATAAAAAATATAGTTTGGCCATTTGAAGAAGCATTGCAATGTACAATAACTTTATTGTAATTCGAATATTTACGTCTTTCAAAAAACCCACTTTTAACATTGTAAACAATAATATAATCTTCACAAATTACTATAATTCCTTCATCAAGAGAGGCAAGATGAATTATTGGTTTAGTTAATTCAATACGTTCAATTTTATCACTTCCAAATGAACAATAACGCAACACATTCTTTTCTGCAAAGAAAAGTGTATTACAACATATGCAAACAAATGAATTTGAAGGTTCTGAATATGGAATTGAATAAATAGATTTATGTATGGCTGAAGGTCCATCGAATGATATTTCGTTTGAATCAGAAAAATCCAAAGACCATTCAGTCTGTGACATTATGAAAATGATTTTTTAGTTTTATTTTTTTAATATTATATAATAATAGTAAATTTGTTATTTTTTAATTATACTATTATTTTCTTTAAAAAATAACAAAAACTCATTATTTTTAATAAATGAAATATTTAGTTATATAAAACAACAAAATGTAACAAAAAAGTAATTTAAAAATCAGGACAAGGAGGAAGAAGAGAAACGTACTTATGCTGTTCGTCTTCAAATTTCTCTTTTATTTTTAAATAATTACTCTTAGAACACATTGTAAATTTATGTAAAATGTTAAGACTTCTTGCTGTATCAAGAATGTCTTGTTCAGAATACCCAGAATAAAAAGCCATTGTTTCATCCCAGTAAGGGGTCGTTTCACACATTTTTCTTCCAAGATACACTGATGCAGCAGCAAGTAGACTTACTTTTTTTTCCATTAATTGATAATCTAATGTTGCTAGTTCAATCAAATAACGAGCAGTGATGTGTGGTTTTTCTGTGTTATCAGCTGCTCTTGAAAAACGACGAAGAAAATCTAAAGGAGTTGGTCTAATGATTTGGAAGTTCAGGGTATTCAAAATTTGACATTCCATATTTTTGATCATATCAGCAGTATATGCATCTCCTGTTAATGTAACTAAATCACTTACAATAACATATGAATATTCTTCAAATTTTGAAGCAATCAAAACAGCAGCAACACCAAGTAATTGAAAATTATTTCTAATAAAAAATAAGTTAAATAAGACATCAAAGACATTAACTAAAGAAAGAACAAACCGCTCAACAGTTTTATTTAATGAAAGGTATTTATCAATAATATATATCGTTAACAGATATGTTTCAGATAACAATGTTAATACTGTAGAGATTTCAGCAATCCAATCAACTAATTTTTGTCTCATTTTTGGTGTGATATATAATTGGCCTGACATAAAACCAGTAGGAATTATCGTTAACTCTTCTTCTTCTTTTAAATATTTGAATATATCCTTTGCATACGTTGTCATGAAAAAAGGGTCATCACAATCAAATGAATCAATGTCTCTAATATTTTGTTGAATATTTTGTTGAATGATATTAGTTTCGCTCATTTTTTCAATACCTCGTTTTGATGATGGTGCATAGACTAAAGACTCTGTTTGTCTTTGCATTTTTCACCTTTACTGTTTATTTCAGTTTGCCCTTTTTCTCTTTTCGTTTCAGATTTTTTCTTTTAAATCTCAAAATTTATAAATTGAGTTTTTCATTTTTTAGTTTTAATTATCAGATACATGGTATTCTTTATTTATTAACACTCTTTTGTTAGAGAAAAGTTATTGTCTTTGAATTGGTATATACTGAAAAGAGAGTTATCGGTATTGTGTGTATATTATTATTGGGGTAATACAAAAATTCAATAAGAAAATAAATTTAAATTGTTTAAAGTTTTTTTCATATTCTTCTTTTTCTTAAGCGAAAAATAAAAATAGTTTGTTTCTTAATCTTTATTCTTGTCTATTGATAAAATATATTTTTTTTGATAGAAGTGGTAGTTGTATCACTATTATTGTTGTTTCTATGATTATTTTATTCAACAAAAGAATAGAGTTGAGAACTTTTTAAAGACTAGATATCTCTATCTAATTTACTTTTACTCTTTTTTATGATTAAATGTCTTCAAAATAATATTTTTAATTGAAATAATATATCTATTGAATAATTAAGTTAGTACAATCTTAAAGATGTTTTTATATGAATAAAGTGAATAATTACATAGAAAAAAAAGAAACAAAATTAACAAGCATAAAAAATTAAAATATCAGAATATATTCAATTTATAAAGAAGAATTGGTTTTATTATTATAA